CTCTCTGGGGTGCTCAGATGTTGATGGTAGCCCTGTGGCTCCTCTGAGTCCTCTGTGCGGGAGTTTCCCACTGGCTGAGAGAGTCAGAAGAGCTACAGTTTTCCCGCCGAGGGCCGCCCCTCCCCCCTCTCTGGGAGCCGCGTGGACTGGGATCGCTGATCTGATGGGGAGGGAGCGGAGTTCTCCTTACCTCTCCCCACTTCCTCCGGGGGCCCAGCACGTTCCGCTCTCAGATGTGCGGCAGTGTGGATCCCTCCGCTCTAGGTTTTCACTGTCTGGGATTCCGTTGTTGGTCTGTGGCTGTTGCTTTTGTTGTATCTTGTGGGGGAAGAATTCACGGGAAAGCTCACTCCGCCATGATGCTGACGTCACTCCTCTATTTTTAATTTTTTAAGGAACTATCATATTATTTTCCATAGCAGCTGTACCATTTTACATTCCCACTAAAAGTGTACAAGGCTTCCAATTTCTCCGTATTCTCATTAATACTTTTTCTTTGCTTTTCTTTTTTTTTTGGTGGTAGCTATCCTAATAGGTGTGAGGTAGTATCTCATTGTAATTTTGATTTGCATTTCCCTAATGATCAGTGATGTTGAATGTTTTTTCATGAGCTTCTTGGCCATTTGTATATCTTCCCTGGAAAAATGTCTATTCACTTCCTTTGCCCATTTTTGAATTGGATTTCCTTTTCTTTGTTGTTGAGTTTTAGGAGTTCTCTGTATATTCTGGATATTAATCCCTTACAAGGTATGATTTGCAAATAGTTTCTCCCGTTCTGTGGCTTTCCTTTTTACTCTGTTGATGTTGTCTTTTGATGCTACAAAAGGGTTCCTGAACCCAATTCCAATGTGTTTGTGTAGAGGCTTCCCCATACTAGCAAGCAGTTCTGGGACGCCAGCAGGGTGTCCGAGAATTCAATTCAATTCTGACACTGTCTACCCAGAGATAGAATCAGATTCCACAGGTAAAGGGCTCAGTCCTGCAAGACCGCCCCCTACTTCAGACATCAAGTCCCAGGTTGTGACTTGTAATTCTGACCAACTGGCTATAAATCAGAGGTTCCCATAACCCTCTCCTTGGGTTTGATTAATTAGCTAGAATGGCTCACAGAACTCAGGGAAACACTTACTTAACGTTTACCAGTTTATTAAAGGACATGATAAGGGATACAGATGAACAGCCAGATAGAAAGATGCGTAGGGCAAGGTGTGAGGGAAGGTGTGCAGAGCTTTCATGCCGTCTCCAGGCACACCACTCTTCCAGCACCTCCATGTGTTCACCAACCCAGAAGCTCTCCAAAAAAGAGCTGACAAGCTGTCCTTTTGGGTTTTTATGGAGGCTTCATTATGTAGTCTTGATTGACTAAGTCATTGGCCATTGGCAGTTGGCTCAGCCTCAAGCACCCCTCCCCTCCCTGGAAATCAGGGGATGGAACTGAAAGTTCCAATCCTCTGATCACATGGCTGGTTCTCCTGACAGCCAGTCCCCACCCCAGGGTGGAGTCTCCTATTGTTCTCGTCGCTCAGGAAATTCCAAGGCTTTTTGGGAGCTGTGAGCCAGGAACTGTGGATGAAGATTAAATGTATCTGAGAAACAAGTATTTTGGTCATCTGAATAACCAAATATATATATTTCTTATAAATCACAATGTCACAGATGCACTACATTTTAAAAATTTTCGTGACATCCAGTTTATCTAATGTTTCTTTTGTTGCCTGTGCTTTTGGTGTCATATCCAAGAAAACATTACCAAGTCTAGTGACATGAAGCTTTTGCCCTGTGTTTTCTTCTAAGAGTTTTAGCTCTTACATTTAGGTCTTTGATCCATTTTGAGTTTATTTTTGTATTTGGTGTTAGGTAAGGGTCCAACTTTATTCTTTTGCATGTGGATTTCCAGTTCTCCCAGCATCGTTTGTTGGAAAAGACTGTCCTTTCCCCATTGATGATCTGGGCCCCTGCCTGTCAAAAATCATTTGACTGTATATGTGAGTGTTTATTTCTGGGCTCTGTTCTGTTCTGTTGGTCTATATCTGCCTTTATGCCAGCACCACAGTTTTGATTACTGTAGCTTTGTAGTAAGTTTTGAAATCAGGGAGTATGAGTCCTCCAGCTTTGTTCCTTCTTTTCAAGATTGATTTGCCTATTCGGGATCCCTTGAGACTCCATATGAATTTTAGGATGGATTTTTCTATTTCTGCAGAAAATGTCATTGGGATTTTGATAGAGATTGTGTTGAATTTGTAGATTGCTTTGGGTAGTATTGACATCTGAACAATATTGAGTCTTCCAGTCAATGAACCTGAGATGTGTTTCCTTTTATTGATGTGTTCTCTAATTTCTTTCAGTGATGTTTTGTAGTTTTTATTGTACAAGTCTTTCAACCTCCTTGGTTAAATTAATTCCTAAGTATTTGATTCTTTTTGATGCTGTTATAACGAATTATTTTCATAAATTCCTTTTCATGTTGTTCATTGTTAGTGTATAGAAATGCAACTGACTTTTGTGTGTTGATTTTGTATCCTCCTACTTTGCTGAATTCATTTATTAGCTCTAACAGTTTTTTGTGGAATCTTCAGGATTATCTGTAGATAAGATTATAACATGTGCTAATAGAGAAAATTTTGCTTTTTTCTTTCCAGTTTGGATGCCATTTATTTCTTTTTCTTGCCTAATTGCTCTAGCTATGACTTTCAGTACTATGTTGCATAGAAGTGGCAAAAATGGACATCCTTGTCTTGTTCCTGATCTTAGAGGAAAAACTTTCAGTCTTTTACCATTGAGTATGATGCTTGTTGTGGGTTTTTCATATATGGCTTTTATTATGTTGAGGTACAAAATAGAGTTTTTCTACTTTTTTGGATTTTTATACTTTTCAAATTCTTTAAGTAAAGGAAAAAAATAAAAAGAAATAGAACTGATTAGATGCATGTGTTTGTGTGTGTGTGTGTGTGCATGCATGCAAATATACATGTATATACATGCTAGATAAGCATATATATGTAATTTATATATTTATATAAATGAATAAAATTGGTGGACAAAATTACTTATTGAGGCTATTTTTAGAAACATGTTTTAAAATTAAGATGAATTGTTTCGTAACAAAACTATATTCCAACTGTTTTGAGATGTTGCATCTATTGGCAGTATTAGCTGTATGCTTGGTATAATGTTTAAACTGTTTCAAATTGAGGTGAATTAGTTGGAAGTTAAAGAGCAGCAGGAGCCTATTTGTATTTGTAGTTTGATGCTCTTTGGTAAGAAAATAAGTCAATATGTTTATGTATAATGAGTTACTCTCCTAAAAGAAAGATTTCTTTTCTTGTTTCAGGCAACCTAATGAGGCCTCTTTTGAATTATGGTATTGCTTGGTGAGCATATCTTTTTTACTTATGTTACTTTTCAGAATAATATTGACTGACTTATATAAATTAGTTGTATTTTTGGTTTACTGTTGCAGTATGTCTATGGGCTTCCTGGTTGAAGAGACTGCACCAGTTGTTTGGAGAGGCCTTATGGTAATGTCAGCCATTGAGAAACTATTGAGACAGGTAAGAAAATTGCATTAAGTATCATTTTATTATTGGCACACTGTGGTTAATGCATTTGCATTCATGTTTGAGATGTTTTGCAAAAGAATCCAGTTGATAGACTGAACGTATAATGAGTTATGTGGTGCCAAGACCGAATTTCACTCCTACATGATTTAATCTTTCCCATTGCTTATGAGTACTAAAAGCCCTAATGTCTCATTTTATATTGTTCTGTTGCACTGTTGAGTCTGCAGTAAGACAAGGAAATCTATTTTATAAGTAATCTACCTTCTTTAGATTTATGGTTAATCTCGTTGTGGCCAATATTGAGTTATAAGGGCAGTATAGCAATTCCTCGGATGTAGAAAAAAATTATATAAACTATGATGCTTGTAATTTAAAATCACTTCAGAACAAAATGAAATTTTGTTTTACTCTGAGTACATATGGCTATATGGTTATGTATATAATATCTGTTCAATCAACTTTAATTTATCCTTAAGGAAGAGAACAGTTGATTGGATAATCTAAAAATATCAGATGGGCTATATGTTATTTATAGGAATAAATTTTATTTTTTTCTTAGTAGCTATAAATTTATACTTAATTGTGTTCTAGGTAAATATTATAAGTAATTTGGTTTTTCTCCACCAGCTTACAGCAATTACTCCTTATTTATTTAGATTTTACTTTTGGCCAGGCACCATGCTATAGGTTGACAGTTTTACTCATCGATATTTCTATATTCATTTCCAGAGAACTTGCATAGATTAAATATCTTGAACTTGGAAACTCTTCTTTTTTCGTTGTAACATCTTATTTTTCTTCTGCTGCTTCAATTGTGATAAATGTACTCTTTGATCTCTGGTCCCAGAATCCTCTTGTTTTCCTAGTGCATTTAAGTCTCTTGGCTGCGTTTTCTGGTCTTTTGCACTCAGATCTCATAGTTGGTTATTTCAGTTATACTCCCATCAACACCCCTTCCCTACCAATTCCTTTGTGACCTTAACCTTTGTTTGTGTGGATTCACCCAGCTTTTTTTGTTTGTTTGTTTGTTTTTCTAGGAAATTTTAAAACAATCTTTATTCAGTTTATAATTAAAGTTAGAGTCAATAGAAATTTGGAAACACCAAAAGAAAATTCTGATGTTGTTGTGAGAATATTTTAAATATTAATTTTCCCTCTTCTATGTTAGTGTTATAATTCTCGATAGGAAATGATTCAGATTCCTCCTAAGCCTTTATGGATGGCCACAAGAAGGTGGAAATATCCACTTTCCACATGATCAGAGACTTAGAGATGCAAGTCAGTGATGAGAGATCCAGAGATCCAGGCCAAGCGTCGATGCTCCCAGCTCAGGGATGCAGGATCCCCATAGCCCGCCCCAGCAAGTTGTGTGCAAGTTTTCTCTCCTGCCCCTAATTGTCCTTTTTGAATCTCAGGGACCCTTTTAAACCTCAAATTCCAGGAGATGACAAAAGCATCTCTGCAAGTGAGCCCCTGAGAGCAGAAGAGAGAGAGTGAGTGTGCACCTGCCCTCAGGAGAGGGGCAGAGGGAGTCTCACACAGAATGAGTGAGATCAAACCCGGCAGTGCAAATTAATTAGGCTGCAAAAAGGTTGTGCCTGAAGCTCACACTTAGATTTAGTACTTGCTTTTATAAACGAAGAAAACTTTTTGAAACCAGAGGTGACAGGATCAAAAGTCTGAAGGAACAAGAGTATATTATTTTTTTATTTTGTGGGATGTTGGGAAGAGAGGAGGGGCAGGATCTCGATTCCACATTCTCAGGTGTCCCTCCATAATCCAGCCTCTTTTAGCTACTACCGAATACTGTCAGAGAATGTAGAATAATTGTGTTAATTGCCAGCATTATACATTTTTGATTTCCGAATTCAGCCACACTCTGAACACTTCAGTCATCTGATTTATTCATTTTTCTTCTCAACATTTATCAAATTCTCAGCTTAAGAAATATTTGGAGAATTTGGTAGTCTGGCAGAGGACCTAGTGAGGATTTGGAGATTTGGCTCTCTGACATATAAATTGTATGAAAGTCACAGTTTACTCTAATAAGTGCTGAAGATACATTTTCAGCAAACATACTACAAAATAGCAGGATGAAAGATGGGGTGAGAAAATAGATCCATAATTTATTTTATTGGGATACTTACAGGATACCTAGACTATCCTCTAGGATATTAGGATATTAGACTACATATTTACCTTACAGTCTTTTGTGAAATCACTTCTATCATCTGTGCATTTTAATGGGAGCCAAAAAGCTGATATTTTCAGACTACACAGTGACTAATGCTGATCATCTGAGCTGCTAATTAAGGAGTGTTTTGTTTGTGTTTTTGTTTTGCTTTAGAAAGCAGACCAGCATTTGGTAAGTTTAACATCCTTCATGAAAATTTAGTAGCTGGATAGATGCTCTCTACAGCAGTGGATTGTGGAGGGTACCTGATGCATTGACTGATTAAAAAAAATGGAATATAGCATATATACAGAAGAGTGTACAGATTGTAAGTGTACAGGTAGATGGATTATCCCAAAGTGAAAACACCTATATAATCATCATTTAGGACAAGATAAATAGAATACCAGTGTTCCAGAAGTTCTCCTCATGTCCCTTCTCAGTTACTGTTTTGTGGGGAGAGGATAAATACCTGTGGTCAGTCTGCCATCTTGAACTGGAAGTCTGGTTTAAAGTTTTTTTCTCTCCCTTACAATATTTTATTGAGTTAAACTTATACATACAATGGAATGCACAGATCTTATATGTATAGTTCAATGATTTTTGATAAATGTGTATACCTATGTAACCATAACCCAATCAAGATAGAGAACTTTTCCATCCTCTTAGAAAGTTTCCTTGGCTGCCTTCTATTCAATCCCCCACCCATAGGCCATCACTGTTGTGATTTTTATCACTGTAAATGAGTTTTGCATGTTCTTATGCTTCATATAAATGGCACCCTACAGGATGTAGCCTTTTATATCTGGTTTACTTCTCTTAGCCAAATGCTTTTGAAAGTCGTCCTTGTTGTTGCAAATGTCAATAGTTGAGACCTTGATACTGCTGAATAGTATTCCATTGCATGAAAATAACCAAATATTGTTTGTCTATCCTGTTGATGGACATTTGGGTAGTCTCTAGTTTTTGGTTATTAAGAGCAATGCTGCTGTAAATACCTATACATGGGCCGGCCCTGTGGCTTGGTGGTTAAGTGCGCGCGCTGCGATGCTGGTGGCCCGGGTTCGGATCCCGGGTGCGCATCGAGGCACCACTTCTCCGTTCATCCTGAGGCCAAGTCCCGCATACAGCAGCTAGAAGGATGTGCAGCTACGACATACAACTATCCACTGGGGCTTTGGGGGGAAAAAAAAAAAATACCTATACAAGTGTTTGTAAGAGTTTCAGTTGCTTCACATCTTTGTCAACATTTGGTGTTGTCAGTCTCTTAACTAAGGGGTGTAAAGTGGTATCTTGTTATGGTTTTAATTTGTGCTTCCCTGATGATCAGTGATGTTGAGCCCCTTTTCATGTGCATATTAGATATTGCTGTATCTTCTTTTCTGAAGTATCTCATTTTTTTATGGCTCATTTTTCTTCTTATAACTGAGTTGTACGAGTTTTAATATATTCTGGCTATAAGTCCATTGTCAGATATACGTATTGGGAATATTTCTCCCAGTCTGTGACTTGCCTTTTGATGAACTGTAGTTTTAAATTTTCGTAAAAATCCAACTTACCAAAAAAAAATTTTTTTTAATGCTAGTGCTTTTTGTGCCCTTTCTAGGAAATCAGTGCCTGTCTACCCCAAGGTTGTAAAGATATTCTCATGTATTTTTATTTCAGAGCATTATAGTTCTGACTTACACATCTTGAATTAATTTTTGTGTATGAAGTGAGATAAGGGTCAAAGTTTTTATTTTTTCATGGTTGTGGTATAATAGGAAATATATTTGTTCTTTGTCCCCAGGTCCTGGTACAAAGCTCCTAAAACTCTTGGAATTTCCTGAGTGATAGGAGTGTCTTTTATCATTCATAAGGAGCCCCTTTTTGAGCACACCTGAGTTTATGCTAGTGAGGTAACTTAAGGTGGTGCCCCTAGATAGTCTCAGGATGGGGCTGGTCACCAGAAAGACCAAGTGTTTAGAGGGTTGGAACTTTCAGCCCCACACACTGACCTCTGGGAAAGAGATGGGGGGTGGGCTGCAGATTAAGCTCGATAAAAACTCTTGAACAAGATTTGGTGAGCTTCTGGGTTGGTGAACACATCCACATGCTGGGTGGGTTGTACACCCTAATTCCGTGGGTACAGAAGCTCCTGTGCTTGGGGTGCTTCTGGACCTTGCCTATGTGCCTCTTCATCTGGCTGTTCATCTGTATCCTTTATAATACCCTTTATAATAAGCTGGTAAATGTAAGTACGTTTCTGAGTTCTAGGAGCCACTCTAGCAAATTAATTGAACCTGAGGAGGGGGTCATGAGAACCTCGGATTTATAGCCAGTCAGTCCAGAAGCACAGGTAACAACCTAGACTTGTGATTGGTGTCTGAAGTGGGAGCAATCTTGTGGGACTAAGCTTTTAACATGTGAGATCTGATGCTAGATCCAGGTAGATAGTGTCAGAATTGAGTTACTTGCTTGGTGGTTGGAAAACACGCATCATAACGGTTTATCTAGTTGTTCCAGCACCATTTGTTTAAAAGGCTTCCCTTTCTCCATTGAATTGACTAGATACATTAGACGAAAATCAGTTGAGCATATGTATGTGGGGCTATCTCTAGATGCCCTATTGTGTTCCATGATTTAGTTTAATCTTTACAGTAAAACCATACTGTCTTGATGATTGTAGCTGTATAGGGTGCTTAAAATCAGAAAGTGTATCCTCCAACTTTGTTCTTTTTCAGTATTATTTTGGCTACTCTAGGTTCTTTTATATTGCTATATAAATTTTAGATTCAGCTTATAAATTTGTGCATAAAAGCATGTTGGTATTTTCCTT